CTAGGCCTGCCACCAGGCCAGGATCCTGGGGTAAGGGGCCAAATTGGCACAATTACTAAGTGGGAAATCAAAGTTCCATATTTACTCCTGGTGAAACATCAACACTCCCTACTCTGGAGCCAGAAAATGAGGACAGTGACTCACCTCATACAATATTTGCCTATGTGCAAGTCGTATGCCACAGCCCTGTCTCAATGGGCACATGTGACCAGGAATGAAGTAAGGGGCTACAAGGGGGGAAAGGTTGCTTGTCAGTCCCCTGTCTTCTCAAAAGGGTCGTCAGGCTGACAGAGACCTCCCTCACAGCCATGGCCCCATGGAATCTTTCTCAAAAACCCTCATGGACAGAGGCCCCATCTCTGCTCACCACTCTTCTGCTTATTCACGCAAGAGAGAACAGAAAAGCAGGAAGATTCTTACGAAAAATAGGTCAGCTGCCTCTAGCAGACCAGGCCAACACCCATTGGCAGTGCCCCTGGGCAATGGGTGGGGGCTGACTATAAGCTGCCTCTCCCACCCCTGCCTCCTCTCCCACCTCCCCAGGGACCCAGCCCCTTCTCTGTTCTACACTATGCCTGGATAATGGCATCTGATGCCACAGTCCCCCTTTTAGACAGATAGACCATTTTCAGTGTCCCCATAAGCTCAGACTCTGTCCTACCATTTAAGTTTTCTCTCTAGAACCCCAGCCATCCTTTAATGTTAATAACTGCTGAGCTGCCTAGACTCAGGTACAGAGCAAGGGGATCAGAAAGCAAGGAATATACTGAAGCAGTAGTCTCACTGCCACCCACAGCACTAGGGGAGAAGTGGCTCCTACCTCATGGCTGCACCTAACTACCTTGCCCTGCTGCAGTCCACATATGTGCACATATATACACAGGTGCTTGCATACACACATATAACATACAAAAGGCTGTACACAAACCTGTGCACATATATGGGAATACATATACAAGTACAGGTATACATACAGTTATATATACAAATGCACACACATACAGGTATGCATACAATGCAGGGACACATTCAGATACACACACACACACACACATCTGGAAGTTCTCACCAATTACAGATCTTTTCACCATTGAAATCCATTCTTAACAAGTTGCTTAACACATTCCAGCAAGCAAGCATCCCAGCAAGCAAATGGAAGGAGACTTCTCCCTAGGGACCCTGAACCCCAGCCGAGAAGGCCATAGATGTTGGGGAAGGAGACTCTCCTGGAGAAGAGAACTGGTTAAATCTCAGGCCCTGCCTTCTATGGGGTTTATCACCCACCCCCACATCTTCAGCTCAGCAAACAGGAAGGCTATGGGGAAACAAGCCAGGATCCAGCAGGGCTGACAAGGAGTGGGCCAAGGGAGAATGCATACAGAGGGTCAGCCTCTGAGAGCTGGCACCTGGCTGGGGAAAGGGCAGAGAGGAAGGTATAGGAGGGAGGGCCAGAGAGAGAATAGGTTTCAGCATTTCTCAGAGAGGCAGTCTTTGCTCCTCAGGTAACCAGATTCTAGCTTTCTGTCTCAGAACCATAAACATGAAACCAACTAGGACCTAGGACCTGACAACTCCAGAGATTGGCATATGTGAAGCTACAGGCCAACAACTGAAAGCTCGTTCTTCCCACTGTCTCTTGACCATCCCCTTTCCAAAACATGGCCTCCCCAGCTTCTCCCAGGGTACAGGCTGCCAGACACACCCCTGACTCCAACATATATGCACTGGGGACATATATACACAAACACACCACACACACACACACATACACACCACACACACACACACATACACATACACACACACACAATGAACACTTCCTGGGCCAAGACTTCTCATTTGATAGGACCAGTGAGGTTTAAACCTCCTCTCTCCCATGTTCAATGCCAAAGGACAAAGCATAGGTCAAAGCCAGGTATAGAATAAAGGGCACTGGTCCAACCACCATCAAGATCTGAATCAGAATCCCACTTTATCTGGGGATACTGGAGGCAGGAATAATTCAACCATAGAATTTGTGGCAAAGAGGGGAGGCAGCCTTGAGAATAAAGCCCAGACTTCCTACTATGTCTGAGGTTCAGAGTGAGCCAAGCAAGGCCGAGGGTATTCCCACAGTGTGGAAACTCCCCTCGACTTGCTAGGCAGACATCTGGGATGAGAAACTATGCCAATAGTCCCTCTCTTTTCCTCACCCTCCCAACCTATCCACTGACCTCAATCACACACCACCAAAGTCAAAAAGAGAAGTCTATCTCCATATTTGTCCCATATCCCTGGGTTGACCCAGTCCTAAACCAACATGGCTTGAGGAACCCATCCCATTTTACCCTCTGCCCAAGCAGCCCCTGCTAAAATCCTAGAGTGGCATCCAAATGTCCTTCCAGTTTAGGGATCTCCCCAGAAGTCACCTCTGTCAGGAAGAGAATAGCTGAGCTCTCACAAGGAGTCCCACCAGCACCCCAACATTGGCTGGTGCTGCTCACAGGAGGAGACACCCACTCACTCCAAAGGCTAGGTTTTGCATCCTTCCCTAAGCCTTTGTCCATTAACAATTGAGCTCTGCAGACCTTTAGAAGGATTTCCAAGTAGCTCTGAAGATTGCACACCATGCACATGTCTCTGGATGCAGGGAAACAAGAGGCTCTGCCCAGACAAGGTCAGTCCATAAAGGGATCTCCAATTCTGACAGAGGCAGTCCCCTTAACTTCTCCCCAAACAGTCCCAAAAGGGTCCCAAGTGGACCAAAGAGGAAAAAGTAGAGGAGGGGCCAGGAATCCCAGAGATATTGAAATTATGTTAACATTTAATGAGCACATACTGTATAATATATAACAGGTAGCCACTTGTTTCTTTATAGCACTAATGTTTGGCGGGGAAAAAATACTATAAGCTCGTACTATTAACCCATTTTCCACTGAGGCAAGTGACATTTAGAGAGGTCAAGCAATTTGTCCAAGGTCACAGGGTCAGCAAGTGGTAGAGCCACATCTTAAATCCAGGTGATTTAACTCTAAACCTAGGTCCCTAGCCACCATACCTAGAGCCACTATGGTAAAAAGACCCTGAGACCAATAAGGTATCCCTGCTTTCAGAAAGGGGTGCATGCCAAACCATCTCAGACAGAAGGACCTCTGCACTCTATAAGAAGGCATAACCTAACCTTCATGCCCAACAACCTGAAATGTTGAGAAGTTCTTCCTGTCTTGACATTTTGTGTGTTGCTGCAATATAAATCCATTTGCCTTTATTCTGTGCATAAACTTTAAAAAAAAATTTTTTTTAAAGTCCATTGCCCCTACCCTGGCTTAGGTTTAGAAGCTATATCAGAGCCTTCCTTCAGTGTCTCTTCTATTCAAAGATCCCAGCACATCCTTTTGTGCTTTCAGCAACAGTCCCATAGCAGGAACATACCAAAAACTGGAGGGGAGGAGGATGAGGACATAGGAAGACTACAAGGAAACAGGGGAGAGGATGAGGATGAGGCACATATTCTCGGGCATAACCCGAGTCACCTCACCTCCATTCTCAATCCATAAGCCTTGGCAGTCAACCTAGACTCAGTTTTCCCACCTGACAAATGGAGAGTTTCAAAACTATTCAAATAAACATACCACTTGACTAAATCATCCTTCCCTTCACCCTTCTCTCCTTCTGTTTTCAGACGTCCCCCTCCCAAGTAGCATAGCGACATATTCCATTCCAGAAACTTTCTTAAATCACCCTCCCCCCGCCTCAAAACACACACACACACACACACACACACAGGCCTAGACAAGGAGGCGAGAAGACCCTGGAAAGGACGCCTCCCGCAGACCCCTTCTGCTGAGAGTGGGTGCGCTGGTTGGCGGGTCTCCACCGCCTACTTCCACCTACAGACCCGTTCTCTCCAGCCGCCATCTCCTACAGGCTCTGTGAACTTGCCCTCAACCAGGTCGTGTGTGCGCGCTGAGGACCATGAGCTCAGAGTCGGGGCAGCCTCCAGGCTCCGCTTCTACTTCCATACAAGGGCTGAGAGCCGGGGGTGCCACCCAGAGGCTCGCAGGTCGCTCTGCCGTCTCCAAAGCAAAAGCCCGCGCGCTCACGCACGCATCACCCAACACCAAGGGTTCCCTCTTGCTTCTTCTCCGACTCAGAACAGAGAAAGCAGAAAGAGGAAAATCCCCCACCCCATTTTTGATGCATTAGTGGGGACAACTCCCGCGTCGCCTTCGCCCCTAGAAAGCTCTGCCTCGTAGCTAGGGAGGGCAGCATGGGGTCGTCGCAGCTGCTACGCGCTCCCGGGGAACTTTTGTTTGGCCGGGACCCAGGTGCGGCTAAAACCGGCGCGGGAGACTGCCAGGGCCAGCCCAAAGCGGGCACTCCTCTGCTGGGTTCATCAATTCTCTTCTCACTAGGTGTCTAAGGACCCCCGCCCCAGCGAGTGATCTGACCTCCAACTGCCAAGCTGTATGGGCAGGAGGGGCGTGAGCTGGAGCGGTAGCTGCCCGCAGGGCCGAGAAGCCTGTCTCTTAGACGTGGGTGCAGAGTCCCAAGCCTCGGTGTCGCGCCTCTCAGTAAGAACCCCTCAGTGGAGCAGTGGCACTGCACCGGGCTGGAGCGTGCTGCGGACTGCCTGATGACCTGCAAACTCCCCAGCAGCCAGAGTTAGGAGAGCCACTGCCTCCCCCAAAGCTCGAATAGGAGGCTGCTCCAACTAGAGGCAACGGGTTCGATGTGCCGGTGTGGACCATAGGGCCCAAGGTGAGCGAAGTCGACCTCGATTCCAAAACATTCTTTCCTCAAGTGCCCGGTAGCCTATTTGCTCCAGCCCCTTCTCGCCGGGGTCCTCCAGCCCGCGGCCCCCAGGCCCTCCCCAATAGTGCCCCGAGGCGCGCCTGGCCAGAGCTGGAGCCTCACCCGCAATAAGCAGCGGCGTTCTGCGGAGTCGGGGAGCTAGAGCCAGGAGCAAAGGGCTGAGAGCGCCGGGAGGGGCAGAGGAGGGACGCTGCACTTCAACTCACCTTGAGCCGCAAGACCTCGGGTGCTGATCACACTTGCTATCAAAGTGGCCACATACCAAATCATAGTACTACCGCGCCAGCCAAGAGCCTCATCCTATCTCAAAGTGCTCTCGCACCCGCACACTTCTCGTGCCCGAGCGCCCGTATCTCGCCCGCCTACGACCCGCGCCGGTGCTTCTGCAACCCGGGCTGCCCGCTCTCCATCCCTCCCTGGCTCAGCTTGGCTCGGCGCGCAGCCTCCCCGGCCCCAGCGCAGCGGCACCTGCACTACTAGTGGAGGCAGAGCACAGCCAGTTCTACGGTGAAGCCTAGCCCGGCCTCTGGGCCCGCCCCCGCCGCCTATTTATTGGTCTGTTTTCATAAGTCTGCGGACCGATTGGTTAAAAGATCTGCCCGTTGCGGCGCGAAGGAGGCGAGCCCATTTCAAGGTGCGTTGAAGTGTGGCGAGCATAGAGCCGCAGAATCATGCGCATTGCCTGGGAGAAGGCGTTGTAGCGTCTTCGCTGTATTCCGTTCTCTCTTCACACTGCATGGCAAGTTAAAGGTGAAAGAAGAGCTAGCTTCTCGGGCTGGCTAACGGGACCGTAAGAGTCTCAATTACCCCTGACAAGTCTGAGGGGATGGAGCCCCCGCCCACCCAGGGAACCCAACATCCGGTTTCCATCCAGCAAAAAGCAGTTCCCGGGAGAACCATGCTGATTCAGTGATGGGGAAACCCTGGAGCGGGCAGCCTGGGGAAGCTCGGGAATGTCCTTCGCTGGAGATCTTTTCCAAAGAGGTCACGCGCTGTCTCCCCCACCCCCACTCCTTTACACACACAGACACTCTTAGCCCAGAGCGATACACCACCTCCACCAAACGTGATATCAAGTTAGGCTCCATCCAGCCTGAAGGCAGGGGGATGACTAAAATGACCTCTAAAAGTCGCTTCGATTTTAAATGAGTCATTGACTCAGCTGAGGCGTGTCATAGACCCCTCTAGAACACAATGTACACACTGCCACCCCCAGTGCCGGTCCTCGTTGCTCATCATTACTAAATCCCAACTTTCAGTAATAAAAGTTTTTCCCCCTCTCCTAAATAAACGCTGCTTCCTCCTGCACATGATCCCACCCTCCCCACCTTACTCAGTGCCTAGCCACCTCTCAGCAACTTGAAACCAAGATGAATTTGGGGAGCAGTTTAGAGGCTTGGGGGTGGAGAAGACCCAGAGAAAGGGAAGAGCCTCTTATTCCTACAGAGAAAAATAATTACAGATCTTGGGTGGTCTTCATATTTCCCAATCTTCATACTTTAGCCTCTCCTCATCCCCTCCCCCAATACAGTTGTATTTGCAGAAGGAATAAATGAGTGTCATGGAAACATCTACTACAATCACCTCACACCCAGCATGCTGAGGCTGCAGTGAAGATGTTTGTTCTTTCAAGGAGTGAAAGCAGTGGTAAGAATCACACTGCTCCCTAAGGTGGGCTGTTGGCCTAGGAAGGAAGACAAAGGGACAGCAAAGGAGAGCTCAGGAATTTCACCAGCTTAGAGCACTCATTAGCCACAAAGCCCTGCCTCTAGAACATGAAGCTTCCAAAAGAACAAGGAGACTTGCTCTTAGGAAAACACACATAGACAGAAACACACACCTTGCATAGAAAGAAGTCTTGAAGATGGAGAAACAGCCTTCCCTGAAACTTGAACTCTCTTAGCTCACTACCAGACAAGAGATAGAAAGCTGGGACCCCAAGCAGAATAGCAAATACACTAATAAAGTTTGACATCTGAATATTATCTGTAGCACCAGATTATCCGTAGCACTCTTAAGTAACCTGCTACCTACCCACCCATTCTATTCATGCAAACACACTAAAGATATATCACTCTGGGGACAACTCTACCTGAACCATTGACTTAGGTTCTCTTTCAAGACCAAATGCCTTTCTTGGGACTATGAAGTGAGCTGGAAGCTCTAGGCCTCATTGGTATACTAATTCCCAAACAGAATACCCCCAAAATAACAACTCCACCCTTAGCACAGGCACACACGCACAATCTCCCTGAATCCTAGAACTGTGAAGTCTAACTGGAATCCATTTGCAGGATTGGTGCTATAGTTTGGAAATGGTTTAATTGTGCTCACTCAAAGTGTTTTTAGTCAACTTTTTTGCTTCTGTGACTAAAAGACTCAACCAACACAATTATAGAGGAGGCAAAGTTGATTTAGAGGCTCATAGTTTCAAAGTCTCAATCCATAGACAGCAGTTTCCGTTCCTTGGGGCTAGAGATAAGACAAGACATCATGGCAAAGACTGTGGCAGAGGGAAGCAGCTCACATGATGATCAGAAAGCAGAGAGTCTCCACTCTCCAGATACAAAATATATACCCCAAAGCTACACCCCCAAGTCCCACCTCCTCCAGCCACACCCCACCACTGCAGTTATCACTCAGTTAATCTCTATCAGGGGATTAATTCACTTTCTGGGTTAAGACTCTTATAACCCATCATTTCTCTTCTGAACCTTCTTGCATTGTCTCACACGTGACATTTTGGGGGACATCTCACATCCAAACCATAATACAAAGATTCATGTGATTAGAGGCTTGACCCCCAAAGCAGCAGTCTTAGGAGGTACGGAACCTTTAAGATATGAGTGCTAAATCCTTAGGGGAATGGTCTCAGAAGGCTGTTCTGTTGGGAGCCCTTGCTAGTTCTCCCAAGAAGGTTTGTTATAAAAGAAGCAAGTCTGGCTCCTTCCTCTCTGCTTCTTGTGTTGAAATGTAACCTCAAGCCCTAACACATGTCACCATTATTGCCATCTGCTATCTGCTCTGGGGTCCTTACCAGAACTGAACTGTAAGTACCATGACCTTGAACCTTCAAAACCATGAGCTAAATACACCTCTTCTCTTTATGGAGTTAACTGTCTCAGGCATTTTGTTAAGGTAAAAAAAGAAAATTGACTAATACAAATGGTAATAATAGGATTCTTCCCCTTCCAAAACCTATAAGCAGCTCATTATGGCCTACAGGGTTCTCTAGGTCTAACCTTACTTCCTTATTCTTTAGTGGCATGAATAGGTAGGGGAATGCGAAGCATCTGGGCTCATAGCAGCAAACTGAAGAAAATGGACAGAGCCTCTATCACCATCCAAATTGGTCATATTTGCTTGGCCATCCACTTTGTCCTATTCAAGGTGGTGGTTTCTGCTAGGAAAACTGAAGCTGTCAGGCTGGAAAGAAAAAAGTACACAGTATAGCTTAAATGCATAACTCATGAGATAGTTCAAAGGAACCTCTTAAAATGAGAATAACTTTCTGGATAAGTCTGTTGGAAGTAGAGTAGAACAAGGAAGTGAAGAAAGAGAGGAAAAGGAAAAATTCAGGATACAAAGGGGAAATTTAGCATCATCTTTATCATCAAATTTGTGTCAGTTGAGTTACAGATCAGCTCAGGAGAGACATGCTGTATCAACTGACAATGAGGAATGAGACCAATCAAATCTTTTCCTCTTAACATATTGTTGAGCTTTGAATCCAGGAAGGATGGAAACTCCTCCCTCACATGGACACCAAATTGAGTATTCAAATACAGCATAGATCCCAACTTATCAAAGGAGAAACATAACCCAACTCCAAGAACAACTCCAAGATGTACCTAGCTTTTCACTGATGTCCCTAATAAATGTGGTGCTGTATCTAGGAATGTTGTATATGTCAGGTATGGAAACTTCTGTCATCTTCTCTTAACCTCACAGAAGTGTTTTTTTTTTTTTTTTTGTTTTTTTTTTTTTTTTTTTTTTTTTGGAAATACAGAATGCTAGGCTTATTAGTTATCCAATGTAAAACCACACCTAGCCATACACCATGCCCATAGGTTCTTGAAGAACAAATGGGAAAGGTAACTCACAGGAGAGTCAAGTCTAAAAGAGAAGAGTGTCCTCATTCCTTCTTCCCATCCACTGAACAAGCATGACTCAAAAATATTAGTTTGCTTACCTGTCACTTCTAACCTTCCTCAATGATTCCAGTCTTTTTTGTAGAATGTTATTGGGACAGCTCTTTCCAGGAAAAAGAGGAAATTTTAAATCAAAGAATGTGCCCCAAATGAACACAAAAGAGTGTTTAGGACTTATATGACTAGAAAACTGTATAAGTTATCTTGTAATACAAAAACCCATCCTCAAATAATGTAGTGGCTTAAAATAACAAGTCATTTGCTTGTGCATGTATCTACAATTTGGACAGGTATGGTGGGAATGGTCCTCTACTCCATGTGGCATCAGTTCCACTAGAACATGGATGTATTCAAGATGGCTTACTCACATGGATGGCAAGTTGATGTTGGGTGTTAGCCAGGGCTATCAGCAAAGAGTGGTATTTTATCCTCATGTGAACTTCTCTATAGGTTGCTTGTGCTTACATATGACTTGGTGTCTGGCTTCTAAGACCTCACATCTGAATAGAACCAGCTGGAAGATTCACTGTCCTTTATGTCCGGAGACTGGGAAGACACGTAGTGCCACTTCCATAGGTATCAAACACTTGCCCCAATTTAAAGGGAGAGGATGTAGATTCCATCTCTTTTTTTTATTGGTTGTTCAAAACATTACAAAGCTCTTGACATATCATATTTCATACATTAGATTCAAGTGGGTTATGAACTCCCATTTTTACCCCAAATACAGATTGCAGAATCACAACGGTTACACATCCACGTTTTTACATAATGCCATATTAGTGACTGTTGTGTTCTTCTACCTTTCCTATCCTCTTGAAACAGCAATATCTGTTCCACATTACAAGAAGAGTTTGTGGGATGGGAGATGGTGTTGCAATTTTGGAACTGAAAAAATTTCCATGAAAACATTTTTTTTAATTAAAACAAAAATGAATTCTAGAGGAAATATCTAGAAAGGTATTTTAGATTTTAGCTTTTAGTCACAGTTTTCAGATAAATAAAACCTGTGTGTGTGTGTGTTGTGTGTGTGTGTGCAAGAAGAGGGAAGTGGAGAGAAAAGAAAGAAAGGGATTTATTATGGGAATTGGCTCAGCAATTATGGAAGCTGAGAAGTCCAACAACATGCCATCAAAAAGCTGAAGATTCAGGGAAGCTGGCATGAGTCAGTCTGAGTCCAAAAGCCTGAGAAACTGTTTTAAGTCCTGATATCCAAAGATCTGAGTATCTGAAGTTCTGATGTTGAAGCTCAGAAGAATGCCCCAACACTAGCAGAGATGGAAAATCTGCCCTTTCTCTGTCTATCTGTTCTATCCTGGCCCT